ACTGAGTTAGCTTCACTCAGCCATCTGAAGAACAGCCCCTCCACGCTGCAGAAAGTTGTGGGGAGAGCTTGGATCCACTACTGGTGGGAATTGCTAGTGCACCCCTCTGCCCCCCATCCCCTCACCAAGCCTCAATTTCCTTCCCCCTTAAAGCAGCAGTGATTAGGTGCTTGCTGCAGAAACCATCTTAAAGGCGACCCCCCCCCCAAAAGGGAGGTATGTGTAACTCTCCTGCCCGTCAGAGTTGGCAGCAACAAGGGCCGGGTTCAGTATCTAGGGGTTCTGTTTCAATAACACAACACAAAACCGGCTCGAGCCCCCGCCCAGTGACCTAGGACAATTACATACCACCCCCCGGGCGCTTCTAAGAGGCAATACTTCCCCTCTCGCAAGCACGGAGTCTGAGAGTAGCAAAAGCCTTTTAATAAAGGAGGGAAACAATGCGGCATCATGTTGGGGAAACATCACAAACGGGATTCATAACACAAAACATTGCGGCATTATGTTGGGGAAACACCACAAACAGGATTCATAACACAACCATGAGCAAAAGACCCACCCCCAAGTAAGTTTGGCAGTGTCCTTTTCCCCTCAGGGTCTTAAGTCCAGCAACCCAACAGTCACCCCACCCACCGCTTCTGTCCTTGGTCTGTGCAGCCCCCAGCGTTCAGAGGTTCCTCTGCAGAGTTTACCTCCCAGCCAGGGTCGAAGTGGGGGGAGGTATGGGAGGGGGCAGCTTACATGCTCCGCTGCTCAGGTCAACAGCCAATTGCCAAGCCTGTCCGTGGGGTTCTGTTGCAGTCTTCACCACCAGCCGCTCCTCTCCACCAGCCACCCTGCTGGCCGCTCCCCAATATGTCCTCAGCCCCCCCCCCCACATACACACACTTAACACAGCTCTCAGTGATTTCAGCTGTTAGTAGGGGGGCCCCAGTGCTGGCACACTCAGAACCACTTGCCCAAAGTAGGTCTAATGCTTAGACCTAGGAATCAGTGATCTCAGCTCTGCAGCACAAAACAAGGCTCCTAATGGAGTCAAAATTAGCTCTGCTATTACACGGTGGAGAAAGGAGGGGTCCACATAGTGTTTAGGGCCCTCAGAAGGGGCCCACACTACCAGGTCCCCATCCCCATCCCCAGCCTCTCTTGCGCCGATGATGATGACAATATGGTTGCAGTTCTCATCTATGGCTACGCATATGACTCCGCAGTCGGAATCCTGACACACAGAGTCGGCCACACTGAGGGCATGGGAAGTCTGACGTTTGATGATGCAGCTCTGTGGCGCCCTTCACAGTTGGCTGGCTCAGATATTTCAGAATAAGCTCTTCTGGAATAGCTCCCATGTGGACACTAGTCAGCAGGGGTGGCCAACCTGAGCCTGAGAAGGAGTCAGAATTTACCAATGAGCTACAGTAATACATCAGCAGCCCCCCAGCAGTTCCCACCACCCGCTCCCAGCGTCTTCCACCCACCAGGAGCCCCACCAATCAGCCCCTCGCCACACCTCCCGATCAGCCGTTTCGTGGCGTGCAGGAGGCTCTGGGTGGGAGGGAGGAGGAGTGAGGGCATGGCAGGCTCAGGGGAGGGAGCGGGAAGGGGTGGCGTGGGAGTGGGAGGGGCAGGGCCTCTGGCAGAGCCAGGGGTTGAGCAGTGAGCACCCCCCGGCACATTGGAAAGTTGGCACCTGTAGCTCCAGCCCCAGAGTCGGTGCCTGTACAAGGAGCTGCATATTAACTTCTGAAGAGCCGCATGTGGTTCCGGAGCCACAGGTTGGCCACCTCTGCTAGTCAGGAATAAAAGTGTTTTTATTCTGGAATCACTAGTCCACTTCCAAAGAAGCATGGAGGGAGACTGGAGGACCCGAGTATGGGTGGAAAGGGGGAAGAGGAGTTAACACTGAGTCCCTCTGCAGAAGCCTAGCAGAGTGGGGTCCTGGTCCATGACTCGGACTCCTAGGTGCTACCATAATACACCTAATAAGAGGAGAATGGGGACACTGGTATGGGGAGATGGGCAGCACACAGAACCCCTGGCAGGAGTTTGGACATGAGGACCCCTGGAATGGAGCCAAAAAGAGGAATGGGGGCCATGGAGAGTAAGGGGGGAATGAGGGGACACATGGAGCCCCTGTCCCCAGGGAGGGAGAATAAGGGAGAAAGAGGGGCCAATGGAGGGGGTGAGAATGGGAGACAATGGTATGGGAGAAGAATATGGGGGACACATAGAGCCCGTGGCGTAGTGGGGAGGTGGAGACCCTGGGATGGGGAAGAGGGATGGGGGCACACAGAGCCCCTGGTGTGGTGGGGAAGGGGAGACCCTGGGATGGGGAGGAGGAATGGGGCACACAGAGCCCCTGGCGTGGTGGGGAAGTGGAGACCCTGGGATGGGGAGGAGGAATGGGGCACACAGAGCCCCTGGCGTGGTGGGGAAGTGGAGACCCTGGGATGGGGATGAGGGATGGGGGCACACAGAGCCCCTGCCATAAGAGTGGGGCCTGGGGGGCTCAGGGAGTCCCTAGAATTA